ATTTTTAGATGAGTTTTCAGAGTTCCTTTCTGATTTGGTATTAAATACTGACAGGGTCATCATAGTGGGAGATTTTAACATCCATGCTGACATTGAAGGCGATAGCTTAAGAGCAGCCTTTAATGCTATCTTAGACACTATTGGCTTTGTTCAAAATGTGAATAGTCCCACGCATTCTCATCTTCATACTTTGGATCTTGTGCTGACATACGGCATAGAATGTGAAGAAATAACAGTATTTCCTCACAACCCTGTCCTCTCTGACCACTTTCTAATAACCTTCAGGATTACTTTAACAGAGTTCTCCTCCCCCAAAAGAAGGTTCAATTTTAGTAGATCTTTATCAGATAGTGCAGTTATAAATTTTAAAGAATCTGCTTCACTTTCTCTCTCCTCTGTGTCACTGAGCAGTGCTGCAGAGTGCAAAAGCTTAGCTTATTCCCCTTCACAGGTTGATGATTTTGTTGATGGGGTTGCTAGTTCTCTGCGTATTGCCTTAGACAACGCAGCTCCTTTGAAAATGAAAACCGTTAAAAATAGAAAGCTTGCTCCTTGGTTTAATGCAGAGCTGCGTACTTTGAAGCAAAATGCTAGGAAACTGGAGAGAAAATATCGCTCCACAGGCCTGCGAGAGTCCTTCCTAGTCTGGAAAAATGGTTTACTGCTGTATAAGAGGACCCTTTGTAAAGCAAGAGCAGCATACTTCTCCTCATTAATAGAGGAGAATAAGAATAATCCTAGATTTCTTTTTAATACAGTTGCCAAACTCACCCAGAGCCATAGCTCTGTTGAACCGTCCATTCCACCTGCTCTTAGCAGCAATGATTTTATGGGATTCTTTATAAATAAGATTGATCTTATTAAAAATAAGATCATAAGCACTCCTCTATCCGCGATTGTACCTGAGGTAGTCATGGAATCTGAACCGGGTTTAGACTGCTTTGATCCAGTTGAACTCTCTGAATTAGCAAAATTATTGTCTTCATCTAAGCCTTCAACTTGTATGTTAGATCCAGTTCCAACCAGGTTATTTAAGGAGGTATTCCCTTTGATCTCCTCCTCCATTTTAGATGTGATTAATCTATCTCTGTTACAGGGATATGTACCTAAAGCTTTTAAGGTTGCTGTAATTAAACCTCTGCTTAAGAAACCGTCTCTTGACCCAGATGACTTGGTCAATTATAGACCTATATCCAATCTTCCTTTCTTATCCAAAATTCTTGAGAAAGTAGTTGCCAAACAAGTTTGCGATCACTTCCACCATAATGAACTTTTTGAAGAGTTTCAGTCTGGCTTTAGAGCTCATCATAGCACTGAAACAGCTCTGGTGAAAGTCACTAATGATATTCTCATGGCCTCAGATAATGGACTTGTATCTGTGCTCGTCCTGTTGGATCTTAGTGCTGCATTTGATACAGTTGACCATAATATTCTTTTAGAAAGACTTGAATATTTTGTTGGAATTAAAGGAACAGCACTAGACTGGTTTAAATCTTATCTATCTGATCGAATTCAGTTTGTTCATGTTAATGATAGATCTTCAACACGCTCAAAGGTTACCTGTGGAGTACCACAGGGATCAGTGCTAGGACCAATTCTCTTTACTTTATACATGCTCCCAATTGGTAGAATTATTAGACAGCATGGGATTAATTTCCACTGTTATGCTGATGATACCCAGCTATATCTGTCTATAAATCCAGATGAAGCTAACCCATTACATAGATTACAGGCATGTCTTGAAGACATAAAAACCTGGATGACTCTTAACTTTCTGCTTCTGAATGCAGATAAAACAGAAGTTATAGTCTTTGGACCAGAGTCTCTGAAAAAGAAACTGATTAGCCAGTCACTTCATTTGGATGGGATTAAACTGATTTCAGATAATAAAGTAAAAAATCTTGGTGTTATTTTTGATCAGGACCTGTCATTTAAATCCCATATCAAAGAGGTTTCTAGAATTTCCTTCTTTCATCTGAGGAACATTGCAAAAATTAGAAATATCCTGTCCAGGGGTGATGCTGAGAAACTAGTCCATGCATTTGTTACTTCAAGGCTGGACTATTGTAATTCTTTACTATCAGGAAGTCCACAAACTGTAGTTAAAAGCCTTCAGCTGATCCAAAATGCTGCAGCCAGAGTTCTAATGAAAATTAAAAAGAGAGATCATATCTCGCCTATCCTGGCTTCTCTTCATTGGCTTCCTGTTAAATCAAGAATAGAATTTAAAATCCTCCTTCTCACATATAAAGCCTTAAATGGCCAAGCTCCATCTTATATCAGAGATCTGATTGTTCCTTATGTTCCTAACAGAGCACTTCGCTCTCAATCTGCAGGTTTACTAGTGGTTCCTAGAATTTCTAAAAGTAGAATGGGAGGCAGATCTTTTAGTTATCAGGCTCCTCTCCTGTGGAACCAACTACCAGTTTTAGTCCGTGAGGCAGACACCCTGTCTACTTTTAAGGCTAGGCTTAAAACTTTCCTTTTTGATAAAGCTTATAGTTAGAGTGGCTCAGGTTATCCTGAGCTATCTCTATAGTTATGCTGCTATAGGCTTAGACTTTTGGAGGACATAGGGACCCCCATTTCATCATTCTGCTTCATTCTCTCTCTGTTCTCCTATTCTGCAGAATCTGTTAGTTCAATCTCTAACCTTCTGCTCTCTCTGCTTTTCCTCAGAGTAGCTTTGCCTCGTCTGTTCCTGTTTGGCTGTGACGTCATCCTGGAAAGAAACATCAGCTGTGCTGCTTCCATCAACACCCTTGTTTATAGATGTTGGAGATCGGCCTGTTTTCCAGTGTGGTCCTGTTTCTCTGACCGTGACTGAGTGGATGTGCTCTCTTCGTCCTCTGGCATGGGAGCTGGCTCGGAGCTCGTCTGCCTGGCTGTGTGTTTCCTGGACGGGGCCGCCTTTTACAGCTGCTTTTTGTATCTCTGCTTCTGTCTCCTTGAACCCCAGTGGGCCTCGGCAGATGGCCGCTCACACTGAGCCTGGTTCTGCTGGAGGTTTCTTCCTGTTAAAAGGGAGTTTTTCCTCTCCACTGTCGCTACAAGCATGCTTAGTGTGGGGGATTGTATTTGAGTCAATGAGTCAATGCAATCAACTGGTTTTCCTTAGATAGAAAACTTTGTATCAATTTGACTGTATGATCTGGTTGAACTGTAAAGTGCCTTGAGATGACATGTGTTGTGAATTTGGCGCTATATAAATAAACTGAATTGAATTGAACTAATTACTTTTTTAAAGTAACGCGCCCAACACGTTGGCTGTTCGTTCACCTCAGTCTGAAGTGTTCTGCAGATACATTTCCATCGAGGGCTACCTTGAATTATCTGCTGGTGAAGATTCTCGGTCGTCCAGTTCAGTCACTGCAAAAAAGTTACAAAAAAATCAATCCTCTGGACTTTGTTTCCGAGTCTGAAGACGTTTCTCTTCCATCCAGGAAGATTTTTCAATTCAAAATGTCAGAAATAGCGTTTAGTTCCAGGTTTTAGACGGTAAAAATAAAGCTTTATTTTTGTTTAGAAAACATGCAAATTGGGTCCATCCCTTTGGAATGGGGGGGTGTTTGGTTTCGTTATTAGCCTGCAATGCCCGATACTTTCAGAGACATAGACAGGTATCAGTTATTACAGGCTAACAAAGAACCCAAACCACCCCCACACTGCAAAAACGATCTAGAAATAAGTGAAAAATTCCTTAAATAAGTGTATTCACCCTTGATTTGAGCAGGTAAATGAGGTAGTTTGCCAAAGGAATGATTATTTTTACTCTTAAAATAAGATAATTAGATAATATGTACTTGAAATAAGACAATGCAATAGTTTTTTTATTTTATTTTAAGTGTAAATTGTCTTGTTTCATTGGCAGAACGTCTCTTTTACCTCCTCAATTCAAGAACAAATGCTCTTATTTTAAGAAAAAAAATGACTTATCTAGATCTAGATTGTTTTGCAGTGCAATCCTACACTGCAAAACAATCTAAAAATGAGCAAAAATGTCATTTTTGCTCATTTTTAGAAATTAACAGCTAAATAAGATGACTTGCTAATGGAATTAGTATTTTTATAATTAGATAATATGCACTTGAAATAAGACAATATAATAGCTTTTTTCATATTTTAAGTAATAATTGTCTTGTTCTATTAGCAAAGCGTCTCATTTACCTCCTTAATTCAAGAAAATATACACTTATTTTAAGAAAAAAATGACTTATTTTTGCAGTGTAAGGGTTTGACCCGTTTATCCGTTTCAATTTGCATGATTTCTAAACAAAAACAAGGCTTTGTTTTGGTCCAATCAAAAAACCCACAAACAGTCATAGTCAGACTGACTTAACTAATGAGAAAATAAGCTAACAATATTTTTAAATATTTTTTTTTCTGTATTCTGTGGTTACATTTTATGGACCTGATCTAATAATTATTAATAACAGTATTTATTTCATTTTAAATGAAATTATGTTTATTTGTAACTGAAAATGGTGGAGTCCAGGGTACATGGCTGTAACCTTTGACCTTCGAACCAGCGGTCCTGTTATAGCAAAGCTCCAGTGACTGACCGCAGAGCCTCACTATGGTTACCGCGTTCTGCTGCAGCGGCATGAATTGACTCACAGTCGGGCTTTAGCTTCCTGGATGCTCACATGAAATAAAATCATTTTTTAATGGAGTTGGAGCTGTAGTGTTTCAGAGAACTGGATCACCTTTCACAGACGAAGTGCTGCAGTGTGAGGATCAGATTCAAACCGAGGCTTTTTTCTTTAGTTCATTGATTAATTGATTGACTTTATTGATCACAGGGGAGAAATGTTCTCGTTACATCAGCTCAGTAGTAGTTGAGCAGTCTAGCAGAATGGATGGACTCTGGACTTGTTAAGGCATCTATCCGTTTCTGGTCGACCTCTGCCCCCCCATGAAAACCTTCTAGAACCGCCCCTGTTGGGTTTGCAGGATCCTAAAGGAGCTGAATTTATTCCAACCATCCGTCTGCCCTACAGAGCGAGCCATCGCCAGACATGAGGTGCGGGAGATCGAGCAGCGGCACACTCACGACGGCCTGAGGGAGCGCGAGACGGCGGCCACGCTGTCCGACGCCGAGGATGACCTGGTGATCATCTACAACCGCGTCCCCAAGACTGCCAGCACCTCATTCACCAACATCGCCTACGACCTGTGTGGGAAGAACCACTACCACGTCCTGCACATCAACACCACCAAAAACAACCCCATCATGTCCCTGCAGGACCAGGTCAGACCGCACACGCCAAGCGCCTCTGTAGAAATCTGATGACATGATGCTGGCGGAGATTCTCAGCCATCCAGGTCAGAGTCATTACAAAAAATACAGTACAGCACCCCAACAAAGCCTGGTTTTAGTTTAGAAAACATGCAAATAGAAACTAAAACCAGGCTTTGTTGGGCTGCTGGATAAAACCTGGAACTAAACGCTATTTCTGACATTTGGAATTTAAAAAATCTTCCTGGATGGAAGAGAAACGTCTTCAAACTTGGAAACAAAGTCCGGTGGATTGTTGTTTAACTGCTGAAATAATCTAGTTTTGTTTTTCTTTTTTTGTTGCGTTCAGGTGCGGTTTGTAAAGAACGTGACAGAATGGAAGGAAATGAAGCCGGCCTTTTACCACGGACACGTCTCCTTCCTGGACTTCACCAAGTAAAGAACCAGTCTTTGTTCTTCTTAATCAAGGCTGCAGGTCTGCATGTTACCAGCTAAGGCTTTTAGTCCTTTAGCTCCCCCTTGTGGCAGTTTAAGGCTGGAAACTTTAAAATGTGAAATTGCAGATTCAACTCATTCAACTGTAGTATCATCAGCAGCTTTATTGACTCTAATTATTCTGTTCAAGAAGTTAAAACCAGGATATTTTTATAGATGGATGGAACATGAGCTTCCTTATTCTGAACTCTTTCTATTGACTCTGGGAGAAACTTAATATTTTACGGTATTTTTCTAAAAAAGCTGAACTTATAACCTCTAATCAACAGTCCAATCAGTTTAGGGCTGAAACGGTTAATCAGATTAGTAACCAGTTATTGGAATAATCGTCAGGTAATTTGGCGTCTGAACCGAATCGTTACCAAAAGTAGCGGTTATATGGAGTGAGTTTTGTTCCATTATTTTTGCAAACATAGAAAGCATTTTAATAAATAATGTTATACAGAAGCTATAAAAAGCGTAATAAAAAAAGAAAAGGTTTTAAAATATCTTTGAGTTTTTCGGATTTCATTTTAATATTTTAATCATTTTTTTTAATTTTCAAAAATTATTTTTCACATTTTATTCATTTTTTTTTATCAAATTGCAGTATTTTTAAAATTTGTTTTACAGATTAATTCTCGTCTGGAGTGAGGAACGAAAACGCATTTTTATTGGCCCGCTGGACGTTAGCAACAGCATTGCGTTATTGAAGAGCTAGCCTTAGTATCGGGCTTGAAGTGCAGAGAATGCGATCTGTAAAATGCCTTATGAGTTTGAAAAACTTGATCTGAAAAGAGAAATTTAAAAAAATATATACAAAAATTGTAAAATATTAATTGTAAAAAAAAAGAAAGTGAAAAAAAACTTAAACTTTGAAAAAATAAAATTTGAGAGAAAGGCAAATGTACTCTTAAAAGTCTCTTTGATGTTTTTCAAAGTTTTATTACAGGATTGTACTTTTTACAGTTTACAAAACAAGTTCCATTATTGCTGCAACAATAATGGAACAAAATTCACTCCATAGCTATTCTGTAAAATCAGCAGTTGGCAGGAAGAATAACTGATTTATAGCAGAAATTAACACAAAACTCTTTAAATATAAACTGTCAATGTAAAATATGAAACCAAACCAAAGATTATTTGTATTTATGTTTAAGTATAAATACATATATATATATATATATATATATATATATTTTTTTTTTTTTTTTTTTTTTTTTTTTTTTTTTTTACATCCTATCACCATTTGTGATTGATTTATGGGTTTTCTTATATTCTTTCTATATTCTACATTTTTATTTAGAAATGTTCAATAATTACTAAAGCATCTTTTTTAATCATAAAGATAATCGATAGATGAATCAATTCCTAAAATAAATTCTGGATGACGCCCTAAAAGTCTCAGGGTTGGTTGTTCCTTTATGCATGGAGCTGAATAGCAGTAAAATATCTCTTAATATTCCTAAACTGGTCTTAAAAATCTCCTTAAACTTTGATCGTTAATCTTTTCCCACCAAATTTCTTCCTTCCAGACAATTTTCCACTAATATCTTTGTACTCAGCTCTCTAGGAGCTGCAGGGTTCTTTGGTTATGACCTTTTTTGGGGAGTCAGTTGCTGAACATTAATGGATGATCGTAACATTTCTGATATTTCTGATTCATTTTTTCATTAGCAGCAATAATAATAAAGCCTTGAACGCGACACTGTGAACAGAAACTATAAATAATCTCTTCTTGTTTTAAATTACTAGAACAAACATGTTTATGATTTTCTATTTTATCGACATGCAGAATGAGGTCAACTTGGAATTTCTGTCAAGTTTCTGGAATCCAGAAATCCGTTTTTAATCTCAGAGTTGTCGTCCTTCTCCTCCTCCTCAGGTTCGGAGTGAAGAGGAAGCCCGTCTACATCAACCTGATCAGGGACCCCATCGAGAGGCTGGTGTCTTATTATTACTTCCTACGTTTTGGGGACGACTACAGACCTGGGCTGAGACGCAGGAAACAAGGAGATAAGAAGGTTTAAAAATAAACGAGTCAAAAACGCTGATGCTGCTTTTTTCTCACTGGAAAAACCATCTAGAAATAAGTAAAAATGACTTAAATTAGGTGTATTTGCCCTTAACTTGAGTTAATGAGGTAGTTTGCCAATGGAAAGAGTATTTTTACTCTTAAAATAAGATAATTGGATAAAATATACTTAAAATAAGACAATACAATTGTTTCTTCTTATTTTAAGTTTAAATTGTCTTGTTCCATTGGCAAAATGTCTGTTTTAACAAATGCACTTATTTTAAGAAAATACATTTGTAAAATAAATATTTTGTTTGCAAATTAAATATTTAGATTTTTTATATATATTTAGTTACAAACTAAATGTTTAGTTTGTTAAATAAATATTTTTTAATTGGAGTAAAATATTTATAAAAAAAAAAATTATTTATATTTAACAAACTAAACATTTAGTTTGTAAAATAAATATTTTGTTTGCAAATTAAATATATATTTTTTTTATTTAGCTACAAACTAAATGTTTAGTTTGTTAAATAAATATTTTATTTGGAGTTAAATATTTATAAAAAAAAAACTAAATATTTAGCTCCAAACTAAATATTTATTTAACGAAGTAAACATTTAGTTTGTTAAATAAATATTTAGTTTGCAAATTAAATATTTAGGTTTTTTTATATTTTTTAATTGGAGTTAAATATTTATTTAAAAAAAAACAAAATATTTAGCTCCAAACTAAATATTTATTTAACGAACTAAACATTTAGTTTGTTAAATAAATATTTAGTTTGCAAATTAAATATTTAGGTTTTTTTTATATTTTTTAATTGGAGTAAAATATTTATTCAAAAAAAAATATAAATATTTATTTAACAAAAATAAATATTTTGTTTGCAAATTAAATATATATTTTTTTATTTAGCTACAAACTAAATGTTTAGTTTGTTAAATAAATATTTTATTTGGAGTTTATTTGGAAATATTTATTTTAAAAAACTAAATATTTAGCTCCAAACTAAATATTTATTTAACAAACTAAACATTTAGTTTGTTAAATAAATATTTAGTTTGCAAATGAAATATTTAGGGTTTATTTATTTTTATTTTTTTTTTATATTTAGCTACAAACTAAATGTTTAGTTTGTTAAATAAATATTTAATTTGGAATAAAATATTTATTTTAAAAAACTAAATATTTAGCTCCAAACTAAATATTTATTTAACAAACTAAACATTTAGTTTGTTAAATAAATATTTAGTTTGGAATAAAATATTTATTTTAAAAAACTAAATATTTAGCTCCAAACTAAATATTTATTTAACAAACTAAACATTTAGCTTGTTAAATAAATATTTAGTTTGCAATTGAAATATTTAGGGTTTTTTTTTGTTTTTGTTTTTTATATTTAGCTACAAACTAAATGTTTAGTTTGTTAAATAGATATTTAATTTGGAATAAAATATTTATTTTAAAAACCTAAATATTTAGTTCCAAACTAAATATTTATTTAACTAAGGTTTTTATAAATTAATGAATGATAGTGAAAAGTGACTTGGAAAAAAAACGAACCTCCTAATTAATCTCTTAAAATTCGCTAAATAACCATAAATATTGCTCCTAATTTCTGACTGCTGAACTGTACAAACAGCGCCCCCTATCTAATCAGTCAGAAGATGCGAGCATTAATGGGCCGACACTGAAACAGGACAAACCTTCCAATAGGAATCCTTCCTTCTGTCTGTGATCTGATTGGTCCTGGTGTGTTTCAGACGTTTGATGAGTGCGTATCAGCGGGCGGCTCAGACTGCGCTCCTGAGAAACTCTGGCTGCAGATCCCCTTCTTCTGTGGTCACTATTCTGAATGTTGGTGAGTTTCCTTCATTTCTGTCCTGATTTCCTCTTTGGTAGCAAACATCAGGTTTCCATGGCGATCCGTTGATCTCAGCTCCGTTCTTAAACAGCTGAATCCAGACATCAACATTCACTACTTAAAATGACCGCAGCTATTATTCCTCCATCTGACATTAAATAAAACCAAATACTTTATTGAGCCCAAAGGGAAAAGCAGACAATGGAGTATTAGCGCCGGGATGGACATTTGTTTTTTTTTTTTTTTAAATATGAGAATAAAGTCCTAAAATTACAAGAAGCAAGTTATATTTTATGGTAACTCTTACCAGAAGCCCTTTCTTCCCTAAAATGAGGATGTGGAGCATCATGAAGTTCTACTTTGGTATCAGTTTCAATAATAAGGAAATTTTACGTCTTTTAGCATCAAATTATTATCAGGATCAGAACTTTGAAAGGATTTTACAAACAACTTGGTCTGTATGGAAGAAAGGATGCTGGGAGCTTTCTTTCTGAAACGGATCGTGATCTCCTAATTTTATGATATTATTTTAATATTTAAAATAAAACATCTCTAGCCAGGCCTTAATACTCCATCGTAGGAATTAAATGTCACAGTAACTCATATGTTTTTGTTGTATTTTTAACAAGCTGTGTTAGAGGCTGATAGCTGTAGGGAGGAAGGACCTTTATGATGCTAAAGGAAGTCCCACAGCGGGACCTTCAGCCGCTGTTCTGTCAGCTCAGCATACGGCGTCAGGCCAGCATACCCTCAGTAGTTCAATAACTCAGTGCAATATTTATGTATATATACTCTTACCCTGTATATAGCTAGCTCTTACTCATAGAAAACATATTTATTGTGCAGGAATAAGGTCTTAGCTCTGTTACACTGGTAGCCAAGTAATCAACATTTCGGTGTCAAGATTCACCTTCTGTTTTTTGTGCAATGAAAATAAAGGAAGTCTAAGTAATATGATTACATAGAGTTTCCTGTCTCTGCTCTCCTTACAGCCAATCACGCTGTTTTATTTCATGATTTAGTCCGATTTTTGTTGCAGTTTTGTGCATAAAACAAAAAAAACCTCCCTCACTAGGTAAACTTCACACATTAGCTTTAAAAATAACCATTTTAAGTCCGTTTGAAGACGATCTTGTTATCCTCTGCAAACCCACCGGGTCGCCTGCGAACCGATTTAAAGCGTTTACAACTAATAACTCAGAATGCATGAAAATTCCAGCGGTAAAATGTTCACCAATATAGATGTTAGACAGCGTTGGAAAGCTTAGATTCTCCACTATTCAACCACCAAGTTCATTTTATGGACACAGTGGGCAGAAAAAGCCCAATTAACACAGATATAGCAGCAGGTCAGAACGTAAACAAAGCAGCCACAACAAGGAAGCAGGTCTTTATTACTGCTGTTCAAAATAGACCTATTATTTTCAAGAATAAAAAACAACTTTGAGTCAGGTTTGAACTGATACAGCTGAGACTGTGTTTTACTCACCTAATTTTATTGTATATATTCAGAAACGGGAAGGTTTTAGCTTTCAGATAATGTATCACACGTCATTTGGTTTACAGTTCCTCAGTTATTTCTAGGGATGCAGGATATCGGGATTTTGGCCGATATCCGATATGCCGATATTTTAAAACTCATGTAGCCGATAACCGATATCGATACCGATGTTAAAGCTGGACAAAAATAAGTAGTCATTGAAAATAGCAGTTTTGTTATCCATTTCTGACACTTTGAAAAATAATATACTCAAATATATTTTCATATGCTGATATCAAATAGATTATTAAAAACGCGGTATCGATCTATTTTACTTTCAAAATCTGGTGAAATTTCATCGTTCTGTTACAAACTCTGGTGATATTTTGCAAATTCTTGTGAGATTTTGTTAGTAAAATAGATCGATACCGCGTCAATATATCAACATATAAAAATATGGCAACATTTGGTGAATTTTCGGGGGATTTCGTAGCATAACGATGACATATAGCAATATTTCATTAGTAAAAGAGATTGATATGGTGTTTTTAAATGGCAATATATCAGCATATGAAGATATTGTGATATTTTAATGTATCAATATTTTTTCCCTCGTCTTTAGAAGTTTTTAAGTCTGTAAAAAAAGAAGTTTTTGAGGAAGAAGTAGTAGTATTTTTTTTTAAATTTTTTTATTTTAGACTTTAGAAACTCAGAAGCTGATCAAATATCGGGTTAAATATCGGTGGGGTGGCCGATGTCCGATATTCAGTTTTAAGGCCGATACCGATAGGGGGCCGATTATATCGTGCATCCCTAGTTATTTCCTTTTCCATTTGGGTAGGCAAAATAGGCGAGAAATATGAGCAACATGCAGATCAACCTATTTTTATTTATTTTTACTGTACATGAAGAACTGAAATTATTTTCAGATTATACATAAATAGATTAATTAATTTCATGGGGAAAAATGAATAACTTTAGGATTAGGATTAACTGGATGATAACAGCCTACTGGCACAATCTGAAGCCGTTCTATGGACCCGATAGCCGCTGATAACGATCAAGCGTGTGCAAGCGTATTACTAAGGGTATGCTGGCCTGATGGGGTATGCTGAGCTGACAGAACTCCGGTTTTTACTACTGTTGATATTAAAGTTCAGGCCTTTATTATTGGATGAATTAGAATCAGAAATACTTTAATAATCCCAGAGGGAAATTACTTTTGTTACACGCTCCAGTTACAGTTTTATATAATATATACACACATCCAACTACACAATATAATAAAGACAAAAAATAAGAATAAAAAGAGATAAAATATATACACATATAGCTCTTCTGTATAAATGAATCCAATAAGAAAAAAAAATGGAAAAAACAAAAATCAAAACATTAAGGCCAGACTTTAGGAAGGCTGATCTTAAACAGGTCAGACATCAGACTGATGCCAGAAGCTCGAACCACCTTCCCTCCTTCACTCTGTCTTTTAGTCCCTCTAGTGGTGAGCAGCAGCATTACAGCGGCCTGAAACAAAGCTGATCTCTGTTTAGGAACGTGGGCAGCCAGTGGGCTCTGGAACAGGCCAAATACAACCTGGTGAATGAATACCTGCTGGTGGGCGTCACTGAAGAGCTGGAGGACTTTGTGATGATGCTGGAGGCGGCGCTGCCACGTTTCTTCAGAGGAGCAACGGAGCTGTTTAAAACAGGTACTGAAAAGTTTAGCTGAACTGAAAGAAAAATCTATTTTTTTTAATATTTATTCTCCAACAGAACAGGTCCTTAAAACTTTTTTATTTAAAAAGTCAATGTATAACAATACGCTTAAAAACCTAATTTTATTTCAGTGTTTCATTCTGTTTTAAAGTAACAGATTATAATTAAAAATGTCTCCGAATTTTTACTGGTTGATGATTTTCTTTATTCAGACCCCCTGATTTTTAATTGGTTCCCCCTGGAATAGACATCCAGTATCTGTTCTAGGTTGTGTCCCTCTCTTCTTGTCCCTTTTCTTCTTGTTTTCCTCTCTATGTTTTGTACTCAGCTGACTTTTCATGCTGTCTCTAAAGGAATGAAAGATTTTTTCCAAGCACTAAGCTCACTTAGCTGATTGCTCCTTCCTGTGTTTCCAAAAAGGCCAAAGTAAATAACCCAGTCCTTCTTTTCACTGTAGACAAGCCATGATCTGCTTATCTGTTCTCCATTTTTCATTTGGATTTGGATGTGCAGCAAATGGACTGATCCAATATGGTGGAAGCATCAGTCAGACCCGATATTTCAGTGAAAGGGTGGAGTCAGAGTAAAAGAAATATGCAAGAGGGGGTCACTACAGTGGCTGAAGGTTGCAGGGAAGTGGGCTGCCATCGACTGGGAAGGGCCATCTGTGCAAAGCACTAAAAGTTAGAAACCACGACTCCGAGTAGCTGTACAGAAATTCACTCCAAACAGATAATCTCTCACCACACAGTTAAATTAAATCCCCTTAGAAATGTAAAAATTTAGTTATAACGAGACAAACTCCTTTATGCACTGCAAAAAGTATCTAGAAATAAATGAAAAAATTCTTAAATTAAGTGTATTTACCCTTAATTTAGTAGATAAATAAGATTTATCAATGGAGTGAGGTTAATTAGGTGGTTAGGATGAATCCACAGAAAAGCTGCACCTTCTGATAAGCCGCATGGTTCAAAGCGTGGGAAAAAAGTAGGGGCTTATAGTCAGGGAAATACGGTACTTTTAATTTGAGCAAGTAAATAAGATAATCTGCCAATGGAATGAGATTTTTTACTCTTAAAAGAAGATCATTAGATAATATGCAGTTAAGATAAGACAATGCAATTCTTTGTTCTTATTTTAAATGTAAATTATCTTGTTCCATTGAAGTCTCTAGCTTACCTCCTCAATTCAAGACAAATGCACTAATTTTAAGAAAAGAAATTTCATTTATTTGCAGTTCAAGAACAGAAATCTAACATTTTTGTTCTACTCTGGAAAAAAAATTAAAATCTGGATAAGTAATTTTTCTTAAAATAAGTGCATTTATTCTTGGATAGAGGAGATCAGAGAGACATTTTGTCAATGGAACAAGATAATTTACATTTAAATAATTGCATTATCTTATTTCAAGTGCATTTTATCTAATTATCTTATTTTAAGAGTAAAAATACTCATTCCATTGACAAACTACCTGCTCAAATTAAGGATAAATAGAATTAATTTAAGACATTTTTACTTATTTCTAGATTGTTTTTCCAGTTTTTTATGTCAACAGACATCTAACATGTATCTTTTTCCTTCAAAGGAAAGAAATCCCACTTAAGGCGGACCAGTGAGAAAAAGCCCCCCACTAAGGAGTCCATCGCCAAGCTGCAGCAGTCGGCCATCTGGAAGATGGAGAACGACTTCTATGAGTTTGCGCTGGAGCAGTTCCAGTTCGTCAGAGCCCACGCCGTCAGAGAAAAGGACGGCGAGCTCTACATGCTGGCCCAAAACTTCTTCTATGAAAAAATCTACCCCAAAAACTGAGCTTTGAAGAGTCTTCTGCATGTGAATAAAGCCACACGTTCTGGGGAGAAGATGGCGGGATGTGAGGCCGCTGCTGTTGCCTTCATATGTTAGCGGGGCGAAACGTTTCCGTAATCTGCGGATACCCGCCGCAGGGCCGGGGAGCGTCGGGACGCCCTCTCTGTCCACAGCAGAGGTCATGTGTGCCGTGGAGCCCACAGAAAACCCCGCCCACTGTGGATCAGTTTGTTTACACTGGAAAAACGAACTAGAAATATGTAAACCTTTCTTAAATTAAGTGTATTTACCCTTAATTTGAGCAGGTAAATGAGATGATTTCCCCGTGTAATGAGGATTTTAGACAAAATGCAAGTGAAATGAGACAATGCAATTGTGTTTTCTTATTTTAGATATAAATTGTCTTGTTCCATTGGCAAAATGTCTCTCTTACCTCCTCAATCCAAGAAAAATGCACTTATTTTAAGAAAAAATGACTTATTTAGATTTAACTTTTTTCCAGTGTAGCTTAAAAGAAGACGACACTGGCTCCGTACTGTTTGTGATTGGTTGTATTTTAGCTCTTTAATACTATTATTGTTCATTTGTGATTTTTCACAGTGAAGCGACATCATCATGACTAACCTGAAGAGACTGTAAAAAATTGACTTCCTGTTTTGTTTTGTAGAAAGGTGGATTGTTTACTGGGGCAGGTGTGTGTGTGTGTGTGTGTGTGTGTGTTTTCTACTTGATGTGTGACGCTTTTACACTAAATGTCACTGAAGTGTGTCGGGACGTTACGGCCACGATGCTGCTTCTCCAAACATTTCGGCAGAGGGTTGAAGATTTAGTGGAGATTCACTGATCAATGAAGAGCCGTTTTACTCAAAATTAAATAAAATTACAGTTATAGAATTAGATTAAGTTAAGTATTAATAAATATTCCATTAAAAAATATTTCCTTATGAAATAAAATGTAATATATATTCAAAAATAATTTTCATTTATGTAATTCAAGATTTATTTGCTGATTTAAGCTTCATATGATCTTTTTATCTTTTTCACTTTATGATTTATTTATTTCAAAATATATTTATCAAAAAGCTTTTTATTTCAAGATTTGTTCATTTGAGAATATATATTTTTCAAAATAAAAGGTTTTACTCCTTTTTATACCTTTACTTTATTTGAAAGGGCAGATTTCTCTGAGGAATTAAACCCCCTCCTTCAAAGGTTTAAGCTCCGCCCACACATTTGAATATACAAACAAGAAATAAAAATAAAAAAACACAGAAATAAAAAGCCTAAAAAAACAAACTACAAAATAAAAGTCCTAAAACAGCTCAAAAAGGTTTCCAAAAATAAATGTGTTAATAAAATAAAATAAAACATCAAGTGAATAATTTCACAAATAAATACATTTAATAATAAATCTTTTAATTCACATGTTTTTAAGAAAAAATAAATAAAATTGTACATCTTGAAATACATAAATAACGAATGACAAAATAAACTAAATATTATAAATAGTAATAAACTAAAAATATTTTTATTCTGTATTTTGTGGTGTTCCATGGGTATATTTAATTAATTTGATGGAATATACGGTAATTATTTATCTTCTAGTATCTACTTAATTTTGAATGAAACGGCTCTCCGTACCGATCATCTGTTCATCGACGATTTTTATGACCTTCAGATTTTTGGAAAAGTTTCATGCACCAATTCAAATAATAGCTGCATTTTTTAGGAAACTATTTTTAAAATAATTTATGTTGGGAGCAGAGGTGACGTCACACTGTGTGTGAGAAAAATTACAAAGACTAAAATGGTATTTCCCAGACTTTTTGGGTTGTCCCAATCCCCCCCAGCCCAACCGATCTGTTCAACAGTTAAAGAAAACTGCTGTAAAACATCTAATGAAATAAACTACAATCTCATTCAAATCACAAAACGAACACTTGTAGAGCGTAATTATTTGCACACATTTCTAGTAACATCATTGTATTGGTCAGTATGAGCTTTAGGAGTCGGCCTTTGTAGAATGTAATCTGTTAAAAGCCTGTTGAAAATATTGCAATTCATAAAACTCAATCAAAAAAGAGAAAACAAATAGAACCTGAAAAAGTTAAGGGAAAAAATGTGGAATAAATGAGATCTTAGTAAAGAGCAAAGTTACTCACAATAATATGTTTTTATCAAGAAGTTATTCTGAGTTTTAATTCTAGATTGCATCTTTTTTTTCCAAATTTCCCAATAAAGATTTTTTTCTTTGCTTGCAACATTTATGGAACAAAATTCACTCCATATTTACCCCACCTGAGACCGATACATCGGTCATTAGCAGGATGTTGAAGATCTTGGCATCTTGCGGAGGACATGATGTGTTTGAACCAGTGTAGATCTTGACCTTTCAGGAGCGTAGAGCATCTTCTAGATCAGGTTTAACCAATTAAAAATCAGCATCAACCAGTAAAGGTTACTTTAAACAGAATTTAACACAGAAATAAAATGAGGTGTTTATGCTTCTATATCTATCATACATTGAAGTTTTAGATAAAAAAAAAATATTTTAAAAAATAGAAAATTTTTCCATTTTAAATTGAAAAAGGTTTTTTTTTTTAAGTAGAACAATAATCGTTCAGTTTGGTTTATAGACAATTTCCTGACTCACTTTTTTTTTAATAAAACCCCTGAACTGAGCGTTTGTTATTTTCTTTCTTTTTTCTGTCTTAATGTTGGCAGTGGGCTTTAGGCTGCCCTGCAAGGCTTTAAACCTGGGTTTAACCGGAGACTAAGCCATTCTCAAGCACATATCAAGGAGCTAATTTTGAGCCTGGATCCAGATTTATTGTTGATTCTGTTCATGGTGGAGAATCCGGCTTCACAGCAGCAGGTTGAGCCAAACATCCTCTAAATGTGCAGGGTCATCTTTGAGCACGCCGTTTCACTTTTCTTTCACCAGTTCACCGCAGTTCTTCCAGCAGTCCACACTTTCTCTGCTCTCTTTTTCTCATGGTCTTCTCCTTCTTTCCCATCGCCCGGCTTGCCACAGGTTTGCCTGCTGTGTCTAAAAGTAGCAGCAGCAGCAACCCAGACTGACAGCTCATTGGCTCATTTGGATCACGTGCAGCCTGGAGCCGGACGCTCCCCAGGGCTTTACCGTATTAACAGGAGAAGAGGCGCAAGTGAAATTACAGACTGTTGCTTTCTGAAACGGAGAACCCAGGTATGGAGGACTTTACCCCAGAACTTACCCTGGATCGCCACTAATCCTGCTTTACACACTGAATCTTTTCTTTTCTCAATTCTCCATCCGCTCTACTCTATGCGTATTTCCTGTTTGGTTCCTTACCGGCTTGTTTTGTTTGTCTGACCGCCATTGTGGAAAACAACTGATGGAGCAGCTAGAAGAGCGAGGTGCTTGAGAACGCTGAGACCCTTTTTCCACCTGGATCTCCGCTCTTTTTGGCCCTCATGTCCCTCCGTTGTCGCACAAACTTGCCTCCACTTTCTCACCGTCTCGGCCGTATCTAGACCCACAGCTAGTTCCTGATTGGTCCTCTGGCGTTGTGGTGTGGAATAACATAGCGCAGACCACGCTTTAATGTTGGGCAGAAATCAAAGTTATCTGCGACACGCTGCTGCTGGAGGATAACCAGGCCTTAATGCTACGGTCAGACCGCAATCAGCAGAGGCAGCAAAAGCAGCTAGTTTCCATGCAAAGTCAATTGTCCTGCAGCGCGTTTAGAGCAGCTGAAGCAGCGCCTCATGAGCATCTGAGGGGCTTCAGCAGCTGCTGGAGTTGGAAAAATTGAACTTTAGCTGCTGAACGCTCCACATCGACCAATTAGAGAAGCTGATCTGGGAGCTGGCAGGGAGTCAGACGCAGCACTGCTGATGCAGAGCGCTATGATCACTCCTCTGAAACAGTTTATTAACGCCTAAATTAACTTCAAACGTAGAAACCTGCTGGCAGAATATGTTGGCTTTTATTATCCTGCTGCCTGCAGTTTGTAGCACAGACCTGAAAAACGCTAACATCTACTTCCAGCCGCCACCAACAGGAGGGGAAAACCCCCAAGAGGCGAGCGGGCCTGAGCCAACTGCTGCTGGGGATTCCCAGTGACAGCGCAGCGCCGGTATGTTGTCTCTCCCTTGCTCCTTCTAGTTACTTCTGTTCACACTTGCTCCCTATTAGCTAATTAGTGCTTCCAATTTAATCTCAGAGTTCTGCGTAACATTTTCCACGAAAGTGTTCCTGTTCCTCCCAAACACCTCACATCTTTGTCAGTGAAGCCGAGTGCTCCACATCTCTGCCTTCATGGTGCCCATCTACATTACAAGCCAGAATTCTGGAACTTAAGTCAGAATTCCGAGATTAAAGTCAGAATTCCAAGGAAAGCCATAATTCTGGGATTAAATTCAAAATTCCGAGTTTAAAGTCAGAATTTTGAGATTAAAGTCAGAATTCCGAGATTGAAGTCAAAGTTCTGAGAAAAAGTCGGAATTCTAAGAAGAAAAAAAATTTGAATCCTGAGATTATAGTCAGAATTGTGAGCAAATAAAGTCAGAATTCTGAGAGTAAAAACAGAATTCAGATTAAAGTCAGAATTCTGGGATTAAAGTCAGAATTCTCAGATTAAACTGAAATAATATTTAAAAATCAGTTAACCTTTTTAGTTTTGGTCCTAATCCTCTTCCATAAAACCAGTTTGTTGGTGTTTTCAGGTGCGCCCCTGTCCGGCCCAGAGCCGGCCAGCAGTCGGAGCCTCCTCCGCAGCTCTGCGGCTCCTCTGGGCGGACGCTTCCACTCCAATCACCGCCTCCCTCCCTCCCTCCCCCCCTCTCTCTCCAGCGGGACATTTCTGCCTTAGTTTTTATTTTTTTACATATGAGCGCCAGTCCACCCTCCGGGACTCCATCTGGACGCTGAGGCCCCGCGTTTAGGAAGAGCTCAGACGGCATGGGAAGCCCCGTGTTAGCGATGGTTTGGCCCAAATAATCCCGTCTTTCAGTCGCCAGAGAGGGAAACTTGAAGCAAGCGGTGTTTTCGGAGCCCCCCCTCCGCAGGATTTGATTCAAAGGCGAATTCAAGATGGCCGCTGATTCCGTGCAGGTAGGAAAAGTTGACAACTGTTGCGAAAAGTGCGCAAACTCCCGCCGATAGGAGCGATTAGCCGCTTAGCGAGGAGTTTAGCGTCATTAATGGAGGTTGTTTGCGGTTCGGTGGTTCTGTTCGGGTCCAAAGCCGCCGACTGATCCCAGAGGACAGTCCGGGATCCTGCCATGGATCGAGGCCTGGGAAACAGTCTGAGTTCCTCTGGAATATTCAGCTCAGTCACAGAGTTTCTGCTGGTGGAAGTTATTGTTCTTTAAAGAAAAAGAAAAGTAAAACTAACAGCGAAGTGCTGCTTTATTTAAAATAAATAAATAAATAAGTAAATAAATGTTTTATTAAAGATTATAACAGTAAAGTTAGCCTGCTTCTCTTCTGTAAACTGGTTAGCTGCTCCCGTGTCGCATTGATTTATGGGAAAATAGTAAAAACAAGCGTTTGTTTACTAAAGAAGTTGTCCTAAACTTTTTAAACTGGTTAAACTTGCGAGCAGCCACAGGCTGCCGCCAGGAAATGTGTTTTTTTTTTAGCAGCCCCCTGTTCCCACGGTGTAAACGGAGCGTGTCGGTGTTTAGGATCAATAAGGATCCAGATTAATGTGGTTTCATTTGGGTGACGTCAGCTCCAGGAGCAGACGTCCCAAGTTTGGTATTAAGGTGAGGTGGGTTCATGTAAACACGTTCAAAGCGAAGCAGATGTTCTAATGACACGGATGTTAAATAAAGAGGGAAATAAAACAAGTTTTAAACCATCACATGATCATGTCTGAGGTAGAAAAAGGAAGGTTAAGCGTTTTAAACATGCATTGTTCATTGGATGTGGTAAAAAAGTGGTGACATAATGCTAGATTTACTTAAAACTTTAACGTATTAAAGTTTCTCTGTCAGCATCAGGGGCGGATTTAGGAAATTTGGGGCCCTAGGCAGAGACAGGCAGGGGCTCCTCTGAATGGAGAAGACATAAACAGCCCCATTCTCCAGATGTAGAAATGTTAATAGAATAGACATCCGTGATCTGTTCTAGGTTGTGTCCCTCTCTTCTTGTCCCTTTTCTTCTTGTTTTCCTCTCTATGTTTTGTACTCAGCTGACTTTTCATGCTGTCTCTAAAGGAATGAAAGATTTTTTCCAAGCACTAAGCTCACTTAGCTGATTGCTCCTTCCTGTGTTTCCAAAAAGGCCAAAGTAAATAACCCAGTCCTTCTTTTCACTGCAGACAAGCCATGATCTGCTTATCTGTTCTCCATTTTTCATTTGGATGAAATAATAGCTGCATGAATCATGACAGCAGACAAGATAGAGGAGAGCAGGAGGCGGGGTTACCAATCTACTCGCTCTGGAGAGCAGAGTTCGCTGCTTTTAGATGTTGTCTCCAAAGTCTCCAGTAGCAGAAAAAAGTCTCTAGATTTGGCGCTAGGAGCTTTTTAGAAATCAAAGTGCTAGAGGGGTCTGAAAAGTGGCTAAATATAGCGACTAAAGCGCTAAGTTGGCAACACTGCTCTTTGCATGGTTTGTTTTCAAATGGTTTGCTGCTGTCTGTTTGGACCTTTCTGAACATGTGCAGCAAATGGACTGATCCAATATGGTGGACACTGATGGGGGGGGCTGAGACGCACTTAATATTATCAGCGTTCTGATGGCATTTTAGCCAAAGGATTTTAATCAAAAAAATAATTAATATGCAGAAATAAGGAATAGTTATATTAACCATACATGGAAACTCTCCGCGTTTCTCAATTCACTAGAACGCGAGTACGGACTCGTCTCACCAAGTATGTTCTTGAGAAGAACACAAGAAAGTCTGGACTTGGTGAGAACAGGAGCACGCAGCATAAAATTGGGTCAATTGGAACAGAAGCGAATTCATGATGTCATCACACGCTCAGCTCGTCTAAAGCTGCATTTATCCTCCTGTTATTAATAGTCTCCAGTTCAGAGGTCTTCAACAGGGGGTCTGCGACCCCTAGGGGGTCCACAGAGGTCCTGATTGGGGGTCGTAAAAGCTTTGGTTCTTTAGGCTTTTTTGTTTTTAGATTTCTCCCGCTGCAAATTTTCTCCACTAATTGAAATGTCTTTAAATCCACATGAACATGAATCCAACAGACTGTAGTAAACAGATAAATGGAGGCAGAAGATGTCTTTCAGTCATCAATGCTCACATTCAGCGACACACAGGAGCTCTTTCAAGCTGGACACCGTTTCATTCACAACACCTGTCCCATCAACCAGGAATCAGAAATACTTTAATAATCCCAGGGAGGGATTACTTTAGTTACATTACTTCATCTGTAATAGAGTGACTATAGGACCAGTTTGATAGAACACTATTTCATACAATATATATAATTAGGGGGTCCCCGCTCCATCTAACCATCAGTTTGGGGTCCTTGGCCTGGAAAACGAAGAAGATCTCCCCTGTAGATAATAATAAATGACTTTTTTCATCTAGTGGGGGAATAATAATGAACACAGTCAGATAAACACAAATCAAATGAACATTTTGCCAAATATAACAAAAACATTTTCATCAGAGCCAGCGGTCCTTCCCACACGGCTATGCAGAGAGAGGGCCGCCGTTAGCCTCGGAGGTCCGCTAGTTGCCACAGTCCTCTCAACTTTGGAATATTTTTATTTTAATTCCGCATTAAATCGGTAAATGAACCATACAGTGACACTTTAAATTAGGGCTGGGCGATATAGAAAAAAAGCTTATCTATAAAAAAAAAAAAATGCATATTGATCGATATTGATAATTATTGAAAAGATTTGAAACCATATTTTATGTGCAGCTCTGCCTGGACGTTTTGTAATATTGCTAAATGATTTAATTTTAGTAAAAAACACAAACACAGACTTCCAATTAAATCTTTATTTAACCAACTTTTTTAACCATAACAGAATTGTTGTAAAGAAAAATAACTTGAGAGACCTGAGTTATGTTATTAAATACTGACAAAGAATAAACTAAAGTGACCAGAAAAGTGACCAAGATAAATATAACAAATAAATAAATGCCCCCCCACCGCCGCCGCCGTTTCCTGCTTTAACCTGAGTTATTACTTTGAAGTTTCTGGCCCCTCAGCATTTTTCTCTCAATTGTTAGAACTACGTGGGAAACTGCCCAGAACTGAAAATATACAGGTGCTGGTCATAAAATTAGAATATCATGAAAAAGTAGATTGATTTCAGTAATTCCATTTAAAAAGTGAAACTTGTATATTATATTCATACATTACATACAAACTCATATATTTCAGATGTTTATTTTGTTTAATTTTGATGATTACAAATGACAACAAATGAAAATCTCAAATTCATCATATCAGAAAATTAGAATATTGTGAAATGGTTCAAAATTGATGGCCCCTGGTGCCACACTCTAATCAGCTAATTAACTCAAACCACCTGCAAAAGCCTTTAAATGGTCTTTCAGTCTAGTTCTATAGGCTACACAATCATGGGGAAGACTGCTGACTTGACAGTTGTCCAAAAGACGACCATCGACACCTTGCACAAGGAGGGCAAGACACAAAAGGTCATCGCTAAAGAGGCTGGCTGTTCACAGAGCTCAGTGTCCAAGCACATTAATAGAGAGGCGAAGGGAAGGAAAAGATGTGGTCGAAAAAAGTGTACAAGCAAGAGAGATAACCGCACCCTGGAGAGGATTGTGAAACAAAACCCCTTCAAAAATGTGGGGGAGATTCACAAAGAGTGGACTGCAGCTGGAGTGAGTGCTTCAAGAACCACCACACACAGACGTATGAAAGACATGGGTTTCTGCTGTCGCATTCCTTGTGTCAAGCCACTCTTGAACCACAGACAGCGTCAGAAGCGTCTTGCCTGGGCTAAAGAGAAACAGGACTGGACTGCTGGTGAGTGGTCCAAAGTCATGTTCTCTGATGAAAGTAAATTTTGCATTTCCTTTGGAAATCAAGGTCCCAGAGTCTGGAGGAAAAGAAGAGAGGCACTTCATCCACGTTGCTTGAAGTCCAGTGTAAAGTTTCCACAGTCAGTGATGGTTTGGGGTGCCATGTCATCTGCTGGTGTTGGTCCATTGTGTTTTCTGAGGTCCAGGGTCAACGCAGCCACATACCAGGAAGTTTTAGAGCACTTCATGCTTCCTGCAGCTGACCAACTTTTTGGAGATGCAGATTTCATTTTCCAACAGGACTTGGCACCTGCACACAGTGCCAAAGCTACCAGTACCTGGTTGAAGGACCATGGTATCCCTGTTCTTAATTGGCCAGCAAACTCTCCTGACCTTAACCCCATAGAAAATCTATGGGGTATTGTGAAGAAGAAGATGCAATACACCAGACCCAACAATTCAGAAGAGCTAAAAGCCACTATTAGAGCAACCTGGGCTATCATAACACCTGAGCAGTGCCACAGACTGATCGACTCCATGCCACGCCGCATTGCTGCAGTAATACAGGCCAAAGGAGGCCCAACTAAATACTGAGTGCTGTACATGCTCATACTTTTCATGTTCATACTTTTCAGTTGGCCAACATTTCTATAAATCCTTTGTTTTTATTGGTCTTCAGTAATATTCTAATTTTCTGATATGATGAATTTGAGATTTTCATTTGTTGTCATTTGTAATCATCAAAATTAAACAAAATAAACATCTGAAATATATGAGTTTGTATGTAATGTATGAATATAATATACAAGTTTCACTTTTTAAATGGAATTACTGAAATCAATCTACTTTTTCATGATATTCTAATTTTATGACCAGCACCTGTATATATATTTTCCCGAAATTCCCGAAGATTCCTGGGAGGAGAGCCGCGTCGGGGCCTACACAGCTCGTACTCCTGCGGCTGTGAGCGGCTGAGATGATAAAAAAAAAAAAGTTGGTTGTGTTATCAGACTGGTTTTCACTGGTTCCCGACACATTTTCCAGATGACTGTGGTTTGTTTTTGGTCCGACTTGCCATGACCGAAATACTGCCAGACTGGCGAACTACAAAAACCCTTCTTTGGAACAATTTCCT